CAATGAAACTGGGCCGTTTAGCTCAACCCTAAATTTGAATCGAATAACCTTAAGTCGTTTCAACTTACGTTACATTGAACACTGAACTTATAAACAAAGTTAAATCTCATATAACCACATAAAATGAAGTGGATTGATGATTAACATGATCATAAAATACGCTGAGCTTCTTTATAATACGCTCTGTTTTTTTTAAAGGCGCTGTGAATTTAAAGCATCATGGTTACATTTGTTTATACACATACACTCACCATCCACTTTATTAAGTACAACTGTCTAACTGCTTGTTACTACAAATTTCTAATCAGCCAATCACATGAATGAAATTTAATGCATTTGGGCATGAAGACATGGTTAAGACAATCTGCAAACTGAGCATCAGAATGAGGAAGAAAGGTGATTTAAGTGACTTTGAACGTGGCATGGTTGTTTGTGCCAGATGGGCTGGTCTGAGTATTTCAGAAACTGCTGATCTACTGGAATTTTCACACACAACCATCTATAGGATTTACAGAGAATGGTCTGAAAAAGAGAAAATATTCAATGAGTGGCAGTTCTGGCTACAGCAGCAGAAGACCACATCGGGTGCCACTCCTGCCAGCAAAGAACAAAAAACTGAGGCTAAAGTACACACTGGCTCACCAAAATTGGACAATGAAAGATTGGAAAAACGTTGCCTGGTCTGAGAAGTCTTGATTTCTGCAGCAACATTTGAATGGTAGGGTTAGAGTTTGATGTCAACAACATGAAAGAATGGATCTATCCTGACTTGTATATAGTTCAGGTTGGTGGTGTTGTAATGGTGTGCCAGGGAAATATTCTCTTTTTAACGCCACAATGCTACCTGAGGATTGTTGCTGACCGTGTCCACCTCTTTATGACAGTGTACCCATCTTCTGATGGCTACTTGCAGCAGGATAACGCAATATTTCATAAAATGCAAATGATCACAGACTGATTTCTTGAACATGACAAGGAGTTCACTGTACTCAAATGGCCTCCACAGCCACCAGATATTAATTCAATAGAGCACCTTTGGAATGTGGTGGAATGGGAAATCTACAGAAACTGTGATGCTATCAGGTCAATATAGACCAAAATCTCTCAGAAATATTTTCAGAACCTTGTGTAAATTTATGGCATAAAGCATTTAGGCAGTCTGAAGGCAAAAAAAAAAGCCCAACCCGGTACTAATACCTAATAAAGTGGCCAGTGAGTGTATATACTGTGTATGCTTGTGTGTTTGTGTGTACATGACACATGAACAAATTACATATGAGCATAACTATTTTATACTTTCATTCACATATTTTAACATTTATAACATTAATCAGTTAAAAGTATTTACAGTATTCAGATTTGGTCACTGAAGCTCAAGTATTAGGCAACCAATCATATTCATTCAGAGTCTGCAAGTACCAATGTTGTTTGTCCTCGAAAGCCAAGCAGTTGAGCTTCTTATTATGTTTGCTTATACACTTCTTGCTGGAAAACTTCTCCTTGAACGATCATTCATATTGACTGATTTATCTATTGATTAATTGATTGAAACATTGTTTAGACGATAATCAAATAACTGGATTTTCATATTGGTGTGAACTAACCCTTTAAAGGTCGAAAAAAGGACTTATGTTGCTTATGTGAGACTAATAGCTAAAGCCATGTACTTTGTTCATCTGCTAGCTGACTCCTATAGTGAGTGTCAACTGCATATTGAGAGAGAGGTTGCTGTGAATTACTGCTACTGAGAAGAAAGCGATGATTTTCTTTCTCTCACACAAAAACACAATATCTGTCTTCTCTCACACACATTCCTGATTCCTCTCTCTCTCTCTCTCTCTCTCTCTCTCTCTCTAAATATCCTGCACACTCCCACATGCACGTCGCATTCGCAATCTTTCTTTTTACTCTTTATCTCGAGCTTTTCCTCTTTCCCCGTCACATTCTGGTGATGCATCCTTTGTCCCTGTGTTCTTAGAGCAAGCTCGCAGTGACTGTGTTGGTGGCACAAAGGAGCGCTGGGTATTAAAACAGCTGTCTCTGGTGGTCCGGATGTAATTGGGATTGTTAACGTGCTCGGCTCCTGAGGGATGCTCGTGAGAATGTCTTTGTGTAAAGCACACAAGCTCCACAGCAGCATACCTTGATTTTGATGTACGTCAAAAAAAGCAAACAAGTCACCTGAGCTACTGTACATCAAGTCTGGCTGTTATTTCCCCCCTCCTCCTTTTTTATCCTCCTGTTTTGGGTTGTTGCTTCTGGTGCACTGTTATTTATATGTAAAAGAAAATGTCTGTGAAGCTCAATTTTAGTCAGAATTCCTATGAGAGCATCCTTTCTTTCTTATTGCGGAAAATAAAAGTGTGTTTATGAGTGTGCGGACATAGCTTTTGATGGTGGAGAAAAATCTTTGCAAATCTGGCAGCAAAAAAAAAGCACCTTTCTGGTAATACAAATTGAAGCACAATATTATCAAATGAAAGCCAGGTACAGAAAGAAATGAAAAGAGGTTAAAAACAGCAAACGAATTCTTAAAAAATTAATTATTTATTGTTTTGCATGTGTTAAAAAGCTAAACGTCTAAACAAGTGAAATTATATTCAAATCGATTAATTAGTTGTACATTGTGCACATAGGGCGCACCGCGCAAATGACGCGTAGTGTTTTAGCTGAGGTCAGATTTATTTTAACCTTGTGTATTACAGCTGAGCAACGATAAATACACTTCATAACGCTACAGTGAGTAGAAAAAAAGAAAGAAAAAATACTCCTCAAACTCAATCGCCTCAGAACGGAGCCCGGTTGATTTATTTGACGTTAGATATACTTTTGTGTGCTTCATTGTGAATGAAAATTTCATTTGCCGATTTAGGGGTGGTGAAATATAAATGATTTCGTTAAAGTTTCATCATAAATCAGTCTTTGGGTATATACAAGGAGACATTGATTGGGCCTTGAAGTCTCCTGAGCAAGCGCGCCAGGGGTGGCCCTCCCTTTGGAGAGGTAGCCTACTGTACCATGCGGCTCCTGGTCCATTGACATGGGACAAATGTTAGGTTGACACGGTGTAAGAGTCTGTGACTGTAAAAACCTGATTATGATAGATTAGATTTAGTTGGTTATTTTTTTTTATTATTAATTTATCCATTTTACAGTGCCGGTTCATACTAAACAATTGTTTTAAATTCAGACCATTTAGAGAACGACAGACATCTGTCAGTACATTTTAATGTTATATATAGGCTAGCCGACGTATAAGGGTGATTTTTATCTAACAACTACTGTTTTTAATTTTTCATTTAGTATCAATTTGATGACAGCAATCACTTAAGACACCGATAAACATGCATAGTGATATCAATTATTTAAACGTAATGCATCAACTGATTTTTCAATGCATTCACAATTTGTAAAGTTTTGCATGTGACAGATAATTGACAGTTATCAATTAATTACTGTCATTATACAGTTGAGGACTTGGCGTGTCATTCTATAACGCATCATTGTCGTTTAATAAGAAAATGCATTAAAATATTTTAGCTCAAGTTAAAATGTGTATCTGTGGACTTTTTTTTTTTTTACATGCGAGGCTAGTCGGTCGCTATGATGCATCAATTACCCCATCCAATGGACGCGAATAGATTAAACAAATTAGACTGGCCTTGTTAATTAGAACATGATTAAAGGTTTTTAATTAAATCACTGATGAAGTAGTCTAATTAGAGCGAAGATATGATAATAGCCCGCTGCGACGAGTATATAATTGTATTGGGTTTGCAATTAAATTCTAAAGAGTTGTAAAAAAAATCCGCTTTTCTGTGTCATTAATGAAATACTTCACATAGCCTGTTCTGTTAAGACATCAAATTCATAACACACGCTCAACGGTATCTCAATGGCTTTCCTATTTATTATTTCAATAACAGAGAAAACTAATAAATTCAGCACGAGGTATTTGCTTGTAGATAAAATCAAAACAGGTTAATTACCGAGTGATGCTCGAACAAATGTAAATGAAATTTGAATTTAATATTTTTAAATTTCAGAGGACATAATTTACTTAATGCGTGTCGGTATATCAAATTACTGGGTTATAATGGAATGATCGTCGTGCGTTTCGCTTTGATTTATTTCACCCAACAGGGACAGCAATGATGGAGCTGTCTATCGTGATTTCTTCATATTCGGTTTCTCTGTGACCAGGCTTGCGAATATAAGATTTAAATGGCGGAGCCATTATAATATATATATATATTTTTGCAAAGTTATAATTCAGTATTCAGTAAAAATCAAAATGCTAAAATGTACATCAAGAATTTCCAATGTACAAAAGAGCAATAAACTTATTAAATTTGTAAATAACATTTTAGAAAACATTTCTACCGTCATTGCGTAAAATGACACTGACAAGATCTTTAAATGTTAGATTTTAGAATACAATTCATTGTTGTTGTTTTTTTCCTCCTTTTAACCATTGTGGTTTCCTCAATAACTTTATTGAAGTATCATACAATACCAGCTGCAGTCATTGCAACTGCCCATGCGCAGAGTCCCCAGCGGCGCTGTGGCTAATGAAGAATAATAAATCATGAAAGGTTTTTCAGGTACAGCCGAGAGAGTGTATAAGAGGAGAGGGAGTGAGAGAATGGGTGAGCGAGAGAGAGAGAGAGAGAGACGCAGCCTGCCCTTCGCCTTAGAGCACAGACAGATCGAGTCCCCGCAGCATTGAATGTGGTCGACTGTCACCTTTATCTCATAATCAAATTCAACAAGAATCGGAATAAAGGTTAACGAACGGTATTGTTTTAGCGGCGTCATTTTTGTGGAGATCTGCGCGAAGAGAAGAGGGGAGAAACTTTTTTGCGAACGTTTTAAAAGCGTGCGCAAAGACAGACTCACCAAAGGCATCCGCTTCCGATGTGACAAATGTCAGATATTTTGTAAGGGCGGAGGAAAATTCTGTGGAGCGTTTTGATAAGAGTTGACGCGATCTTTGAAGGAGTTTACCGACAGGTTGCATGGCTTACTGGCGCTCGCGACACGTCTCAAGCCACGGCACGCAACGGAGCGACCAACAAGAGCGCGTTCTTTCAGACTAGGCAGCAGCATCGCTAGATGAGCTATCTAGAGACTTGGTGCATCATCCTCTTCACGTTTGTTGCAACGCCAGAGACTTGAGACTTCCGAGCAGCGACTGGCTTGAACTCCAGTCGAAGAAGAAGGCGGAGTCTTAACTTATTAAAAGGAACTCGCCGAAGCTCGGTCGCAAATATGATGATGATGTCTCTGAACAGCAAGCAGGCATTCGCCATGCCTCACACCAGTTTGGCCGAACCCAAGTACTCCAGCTTGCATTCCTCGTCCTCCTCCTCTACTCTGACTTCCAACGCGCCCTCGTCCTCCTGCTCCTCGTCCAGACACAGCAGCACGATCAGCAGCAGCGGCGGCGGCAGCTCGGAGGCGATGCGCCGAGCATGTCTCCCAACCCCACCGGTACGTATTCTGCATAATCACCGCTTAAAGGCACATTTTGACAGCCCACTTTTTCTGCTTGATGTTTTTTTCATGTCTGCACAGCAAATCACCCAACACCTCCATTTTTCCCTCCCAACTTATGTATTCAGCCGGGTTTGCCTTTCGTATTAATTTTTATGACCTGGGATGTTGCATGTGTCTTGTTTTGTGTGTTCTTTATTCGGATTTCTTTTTTTTACATGCTGGAAATGTTTTAAAAGCACGGAGTGGAGTGCGAATTCCCTGCTGACAGTTATGTGTGCATTCTATTTGCAATTGCAGAGCAATATATTCGGTGGATTGGATGAGAGTTTGTTGGCCCGCGCGGAAGCTCTGGCGGCGGTGGATATAGTCTCGCAGACCAAAAGCCATCATCACCCACCTCATCACAGCCCCTTCAAGCCGGACGCAACCTACCACACCATGAACACGCTTCCGTGCACCTCCTCGTCCTCCTCGTCGTCCGTGCCCATCTCGCACCCGTCAGCTCTGGCGAGCCATCACCACCACCACCACCATCACCATCACCAGCCGCACCAGGCACTGGAGGGCGACCTGCTGGACCACATCACCCCGGGACTGGCCCTCGCCGGAGCCATGGCCGGGCCAGACGGCTCGGTGGTCTCCACGCCTGCGCACCCTGCCCACATGGCAGGCATGAACCACATGCACCAAGCTGCCATCAACATGGCTCACGCCCATGGGCTGCCATCCCACATGGGCTGCATGAGCGACGTGGACGCAGATCCCAGGGACTTGGAGGCATTCGCTGAGCGCTTTAAACAGCGTCGGATCAAACTCGGCGTGACCCAAGCGGATGTAGGGTCAGCGCTGGCCAGCCTGAAGATTCCTGGCGTTGGCTCTTTAAGCCAGAGTACCATCTGCCGGTTTGAGTCGCTCACGTTGTCCCACAACAACATGATCGCCCTGAAGCCCATCCTGCAAGCCTGGCTGGAGGAGGCAGAAAAGTCGCACCGGGAGAAACTCAACAAACCCGAGCTCTTCAACGGGGCCGAGAAGAAGAGGAAGCGGACCTCCATCGCGGCCCCTGAGAAAAGGTCCCTCGAAGCGTACTTTGCTATTCAGCCGCGTCCATCCTCAGAAAAAATCGCAGCAATCGCAGAGAAGCTGGACCTCAAAAAGAACGTAGTGCGGGTCTGGTTTTGCAACCAGAGGCAGAAACAAAAACGCATGAAATACTCGGCCTGCGTCTAGCTCGAGTAGAAGACCAACACAACGTGTCGAGAGACTCCTAAAACTGTTTAAAGACGATTTGTAAAATATTTCTTATCTCACACCTTTTTCAATCATCAATAACTTGTGCATTGAAGCAACATTTCATGACATTCAAAAGAGACATTTGAAAATACCAAATCACTGTCACGTATTACGCAAAGGGGATGTGGAATCATTTACAGGATCGTTTGACTGATCAAGTAAGACCATTCGTTTTTCCTCACTTATTCTAGCACACTTTCCGTATGAGAGGAGCAAGACTTTTTAAGCCTCAACCAGACAGCCTGTCTGAAGCTAAAATAACACATTTTATTAATTTACCAGAAAGTATTGTGTATCAAGCTACACAAAACACCAGTAATTCCAAACTGATCAACCTGAGGGAGAAAAAACAAACAAACAAAAAAAATTCAGGTCAAAACAAGGACAGTTTTTTTTTTTTTTCATTTGAAATAATTATCTCTCAGCATGTCACACTTCAATCTTGTGTTGAATCAGGGTTTACTACTGAAAACAGAGGAAATCACCTGTTAAATCCAGGAACAATTCTGCAACAATATTAGATAACTAAACAGCTCCTTGTAAATGATTGATTTAGCTGTTACATGCATAATTTTGTCTGTCGTCTTCTTAATTACACTTCTGTGATTTTATAAATGATAAACCTATAGCCTACAATTAGGCAATGGGCGATGAGAATATCCATATTTTTCTTGTGAAGGCATAGGAATTTAGGACGTAAATTTGCTATAACTGACCTCTTAGTTAATAAAATAAGACATATTGGATCAACTGAACACAAGGAGAGGCTCAATTGTTTTCTTTTTTGGTAAGGGGATTTGTTCAGCCAAATATCTGTTGCAATACGCCTGCGCTCTAACGTGGCTATGTTTCTTATGAACTATTTATCATGTGAGGTAATGTTTACTTCATTACATATTTATTGGGATTCCCTCCACGTTTTTGCTTGAGAAAATCATATTGAGACAACAAGGAAAACGTGGCCCTCTGCAAACAGGGAAACTGCTTGAAACAGGCCAATTTTATTTATTCATGTTTTTCGTTCTCCTGACGGCACAATCAAGAGATATATGAGAACATTTTCTTTTAAATTATTTTCATGTGTGTTATCTGCTTATTTATTTGTAAAAATATACGCGTATAATTATGGAGTCGTTGCTTGTTAAATTCACCATGTTTAGTAATGTTTTCTTAATGAAAAAGATGAATTCCATGGAAGCATTCACGTAAAATGTAAATATCTCATTTGGACATACACATAAAATATCCGTACAGGTATTTGCTGTATTGCTGTTTTAGCTGCGGTAACTGTAATGTCTGTTGCTTTAGGTTTAATTGTCGGGATCGGTTTATTAATTTATTACATCGATGTATATTTAAGTTATTTGATAATTGAATTGAACTATGTGTTTCATTAAAGAACAAAATTTTAACATTTTATTCAACGTTCTCAATGGGGTTATTTATACAAACAGGCCTAAATGAAGGTTTCAAACGATTTCATGCACACATTTCATGTGTAAATAATAATTAAATGTTTGTTTGCTTTTGATCTCATTTTGCTTATTGTGTGGATTACACGTGTTTTCTTTTTACATCAATTTGCAGTGTTTCTCATTTTGGTTGCAAGACACAAATAAGCATTCAGGTTAGTTTAGCATCTTGCTGTTTGCCTAAAAAAGACGTCTTGACACCTTTAGCTAAAGAGCTACGCTTGGTATTTTCACGAACGACTTACTGCTGCTAGCATTCCCGAGCCTTAGAAGCCTACCTGAGAGCAAATGCTAATATTCTATTAGAGTCTAATCATGAAGTCTATAGAGATCTGGGGAGGTCCCTCGAGCACAGCGCTGCCAGATGTCAGGCCGCCAGAAAAACACCTCGCCTGCCAACGTGCCGGGCTCCATTTAAATCCACAGTCGATGGTTCTCGTTCTTCTGCCGACATAGGCAGCCCTTTGAAGACTGACTCGGTTCACTGTTAGGCCGAAACGCAAAAAAAAAAAAAAAAAAAAAAGGAAAGAGAGAGACGGGAGTCATCTCACTAGCGCCGCTCATGTCATGGCATTCTAGGCGTATTGCTTTCAGCACCACGGACAGCAGCCTCAATGGAGGAGATTTTGCCATTGATGTTTCCTGCCGATTTTCAAAGCGATTTAACAGATGATGAATGCAATTTGCATTTTGTTTTGTTCTTTTGAAAAACAAAAATGCAAAATGAATGAATATTTTCAAATAGTATTGTAATATTGCAGCTTTTAAATGCTTTGAACGCCTAAAAAAATTCACTATTCAGTTATTTAATAAGGAAAAAAACTATTGGAAATTAACTTTAAAAAATCGTGTCTTTATAATGAAATGTAGACAACTTTAGAATTATTCTGCAGCCCAAAACGTTCAATGTTTAAAAAAATATTAATAATAGTTTTTGTAAGTGTCCAGTTTGCGCCTTAGATACTTTTAAGAAGCTCAATGGCTAAACTGATCCTAAAGTTCTCATCAATTATAAACTGCTAAAAAGCAGGGAATCAGATCTCCTAAACGAGCTGATCGCTTAACACGATAATATGAGCGAATTATTAAATTACACACGGAATTATGAAAATCAGATAATTACTACTAAGTAAGTAATCATTAACTGGAGCTGTTAATTACAGTCGGTCGTGGAGGAGGGTTGAATCTGGAGAGGCTTGTCGGGAATGAAAATGAATCTCGTTGCTTGACATATGAATGAAACGGCCTATCCCTCCACTTAACTTTCAGATAGGTGCAAAAAATATCGATCGCTTTTTTAACACAAACCAGTCAGAGGGAGACTAAGAAATATAAAACATTAATTACATAGATGGGTATGATTACATATTTCTAAGCAGAGAGAATGTGTCATTTTTTAATCGCTTCTTTAATAGATTGATCAAGAGAGGGCAGTGACCTGTTAGTGGAATCGCATACATGTGATTCTCATTCTTTAAAAACGTGGTGGTCACATTCAAAAACGAAAGGGCAGCACTGTTTTCCTTTGTTATAATTAGGTCTTCTGTTTTCTTTCTCTTTTCCCCTGAACATTTCCCCCCTTTCATAGGGATAGTGATGAAATTTTAATGAAGCCAGGGACTGTCGGTGCTCCGCCTGGGGACCTACGAATAGAATATTTTAACTGTACATTTACCCCAAGTGTCTGCCATCAAAGCACGTTAAGGCAAACCACGGGCCTCTGACGTGTTAGAACCCCTTATTTAGTGCTTGAACATTTATTGTATTGTCATTGATGTCGTGCAGTTTTTAATTATTTGTGTGACTCGTTCATTATGCTGTTCAACAGAGACAAAATCAGGAATTGCATGGGAAATTAAATAGTTCAACTAAACGCCTCCACATTTTTTTTACTTAGGTGTAATAATTGTAAAACATATTCAGCGAAACAAATCGCTAATATATGAACGAATGAAAAAAAAAAAAAATCTCTGCACACACGTGCAGAATAACTTTGGCCAAAGGCGATAGTTATTCGCACATCTGATTAAATGGGAAAACCAATACTTGTGATAATAATGAGAGAAATAGAAAAGATAGAATAATAAAACCACATGGTAAAGACCCTTATACTTAAAAGGGAATGCAATTTATGTAACAATAAAAATGAACAATAACATTAGTAACAATAACACATAACACCGCCACAGTTAAAGCTATAGCTAGTTCAGTGGGTTACTTAACCCTCGCATCTTTAGCCCCAGGGGATTATATTACTCAAACAGTATAACTCACCACGAATCTCATTCGATGTTTAAAGTAAACTAATGGACCACAGGTTTTGATTAGGATTACTTCAATCAAATTCAAATAAATACTTACTAATAATACTTAATATTTAAATAAATGTTTAAAAAGATTATTCATTTTCATTGTTTTCTGAAACCATTAAGTAACATGTCAGATAAAAAAAAAACGATATTTTGAACAACGATTCTTATTTCGAGCCAAACCAGTTTAATACCCTTATGCTATAAGTACACCATAGATGGTGGCATAGTGTTGAATTTTGTGTCTTCAAAAGAGGCCTACGGTGATTAAATATTAAAGAGTCTAGGATGAGCCTGTATATTTCTCGCCCAGTTCTGGTTTCTTCCTGCTCGCCATGAAATTCATTTAGGGTTTAACGCACAGCACGTTGCGTTCTCCTATTCTCAGACGCTGTTGCGCCGTTCCAAATGAGCAAGTCGCAGTTAGATCGCGCATTTGGCAATAATGAGAAGGTGGTAGAGCTGTCTGCTGGATGTGTGTGTTCATTGAGGTTTGACAGCCGTGCTCCGCTGCAGATCTATTCATCATACCCGCAAGGACTGCCTCTCCCCTCTCTCTCCCTCTCTCATTCACTCACTCTATCCCCTCTGTCCTCAGTTTATACAGAACAGAATCATTTACATAAAGTCCTTAAGGCAAATAACTGTTGGGGGCTCTAATTTATATCTGATCGAAAATTAGCCGTCATTATGCGCCCCATTAGCCGCGTCTTTAATGTGCTTCTAAGCACCATTTGTCAAGCAGCTTGTTAATATCCTTCAAGTCTTTAAAGTTGAGAGCTCATTAAAAGACTCAGCGCCCTGGTATTGATGCTATTTTATAAAATTCGGCAAAGCGTAGCTAAAGAACCGTTTAAAAGTTTTCTCTTCCTCCTAGAATGACTGAATGATGTATGGTTGCCTGGGCAGTAGGAAGGGTGAACCGTTGCTTTCAATGCGAAATGTATGGTTGTAAAGTTAGGACAGGTATTTAGCGGAAAAGCACATCTCATTCGCATGAAGTAAAATTAGGATATCACAAAAATCTGTAGGCTAATTGGATTTGCAAAATTTACGTTGAATCTAGCATGAACTACGTTTACAAGTAAACCACACTTTAAAACATTGTGCAACACTCTTAAAAATTAATGTTCTTAATTAGCTAGTATTCAGAGATTCAGAAGTATTCAGACGAACTTCAGAACATTATAGAACGTCTAAATTCAGCATTAATTCAATTAAAT